TCAAATACCAGTAACTTGCGAGTATCTTCTACTCTCAATGGCCATGTTTCGCAGCCGTAAAGTAGAACAGAGCGAACTGATGCACAGTATACTCGTCCTTTAATTGATAGACGGATATCTCGTCTTCGCCATAGGTGACGTAAGTTGACAAAAACCAAACGAGCTTTTTGAATCCGTGCTAAGATTTCGTCAGACACCAACCCATTAGGGCTGATCAGACTTCCAAGATAAGTGAAGTTGTCGATGCGTTCGACTACTTCACTCCCTATCCTTAGTTCAGGTGTTGACGCAGGCCAGTCCTGGAGTAACAATTTACATTTGGATGGGGAGAAACGCATCCCAAACATCCTGGCATTATTACTGAGTTCCAACAGAAGACTCTGCATTTCATCAGCGTCTTCACCAAACAGGACTATGTTATCTGCGTATTCTAAGTCGAAACCCAAACCACCGCTATTGAATAACAGAATATTATTAGTCGCATAGTTATTCGATGAATGCATATACATTTACGGTCAGCATCAAACTATATATATATATATATATATATATATATATATATATATATATATATATATATATATATCTGATTAATCACATGAAATTGTTTGATTGATCGGAAAGAAGAAAATCGAATCGATTTTTCATTCAACACAATTACAACACTTGCTTTTTCTCTTGTAATTGCAGCTCTTCCGATGAAGCTGAAAGATTTCCACTGCCAGCACCACATCAAATTTGCGAAAATTTGGAAGCTAAAATACCACCGATTCCTCCTCGGACGCCACGCGTGCGAATAATTGATATTAATCAATTATGCGCAGCATGTAATGCCAAACTAGGTAATCCCAATAAGCCAATTTATTTGGTTCAAATACTTACCAATTTATCAATTACATTTTAGAATCATTAATAGTTCTATCCTATTTATTATATAAGGCTGACAGTACTTAGTTGTGAGCTGAAATAATAAAGTAAGATCAAATAACTTTTATTTGTAGCTTGAACAAGCTTATTAGAGTTGTGGTGAGCTATTTACCTCAGGATTCCTTATTTACTGGTATATTTTCCTACAACTCTTGCAACTAAAATATTTACCGGCTATCCTACACTGTTTCCTGTGTAACACTGGTTTGTTTTGTCTGCACAAATCCTACATTCACAAGAACCCTAAAATTTTGCATAGAATTTGGACCAATTGGTTTCTTAGTGATTAAAAAACTCGAGAGTGCCCTCTTTATTTACTTTGTTTTTAGGAGCCCAGTAGTTGTAATTGATTTATGTTGAATAAATTAAAAAGTTCGTTTAAAAATAACTACCGACATATGGGTACTATATGGAAACTAGATGAAGGAAATGGTCTGAACAATGATCGGTTAGCCAAAAAATTAAGAGTAGACCTGACAGTTTGAAAAAACTTTATACGCACTTTCAACCTCCATGGATATCAATCTTACACTTTGGTAAGCAGAGATGGATAGTGGCTAGCAGTGGAATCCAGGACTCACGTTTCGTTCTATTTGGGACTCGTCAGCTGGATGTACCTGCATCTCAGAGTTGAGTTCACTCTGGGACTCGAACCCAGTACCCTCGCTTCAAACGCCATCGTGTTATCCACTCGGCCACTGAGTCCTGATAGCCACTTGCTTGTGCGATGGGGTGAAGTTTAAATTCTTACACTTTGCCTGTGAGATTCGATTACTATGGATTCCTAAGCCTTTATCAGATTGTATGCATCGGGACTTATCCTCAATTACATTTCGTATCAAACTTCAAGTTTTTATAAAGATTTAAAAAGTTTATAGGGACATATTTCAACACCCTTCATTTGAGACTCCTGTGTATAAAGTTAAGAAACCTAACTACATTTTAGATCTCAAAACTCTATCTCCGTAAATGCTTTTCTTTTTCGATGTTCGTTGTTTGTTCTAGATTGTCGATAGATGCATGCCCCGAAATTTGAGTATTTTGAACCAGATGTAATAGCCTCGTTGTTTCTGTTTATTATTTGTTGCCGCCCAGAAACAGAGTCGGTCATCTAGAATAAACACCTCTAGTCTCCTATTTTAGTATCCATAATAGAGACGTTAACGCCGGAGCAATCAAGCCATAACTAACCCCTATATTACCGAACGACATACAAAAGTCCGTTGTCACATTACGGTTTTTTGTGCTCGTCAGATTCTATCCATTCTTGACCGCCGCAAAATATTTTTAACAGCAATTACAGCACAGGTACTAACATTAGAGGTCCCATATGGGTTTCAGTTCTCCAGATTATCCATAGCTAGTATAAACATTGACAGTTTAGTTTGTGTATAAATTAACAGTCTCTTTCATCGCGGATCGATTAAAATGATTTACTTTATTTGCTTCCTACACAGATTCTGAGGACTCAATGGTTATTGAATCCTTAAATCTATACTATCATTTACCATGTTTTGTATGTGCAAGATGTGGAATTGCGCTAGGTGATGGTCTATCAGATGTGGAAGTTCGCGTTCGACGTAACTTGCTTTACTGTTCACATTGTCATTCCAAGAATCTCACTGTATCAAATAATAACAAAAATGAATGTCGTCCACAGATGCAAAGTGTGCAACCTAGTTCTCAATCTCTAAAACCGCTTAAACCCACTGATAAAAGACACCGAAACGGTCCAGAACAGCAGTTATCATCAAATTTAAATAAAGTAAGACCCGATAACAGTCATTATAATTTAAATGACATTATTATTTACCTAACCCACAATACGACTGTTATATAAGTTTTAAACCTTAGACATTATTAAAGCATATTCACATAAGAGCAGCTTATTTTTGATATAATGAACGTAAACTAACCGATAAGAACCCCAAATCACCGGAAGTTGGTTAGATTTATTAGGATAACTGGAATTCCATTGTCGATATTAAGAAAATGCACACATTCACAATATAATGGGAATACGAAAATTGAAAATAAGATTTTAAGAACACATTATTCAATATACTAGTCACAGAGGCTAGTGACTTGTTAAATGATTCATACGTTCCAAAAGAAGCTTACGTTGGAGACAAACCTACTAACTGATAAATTATAACAGCCACCAACGCTGCACCAAAACCTTATGTTTCCCTGGTCATCAGACCAATTTTCGAAATTTCACTGAATGATGAACGGTTAATATGTAAACTATAAGTTTCCTCTCCAACCTTTGTAAGTCTTTAGGTGTAAATATCAGAGGAGTCTATTTGTAATGTAAATTCTATCCCCCCTCACTCAATCTGCGATATTATCCGCTCGATATCGACTCGCGAAAAAAAGCCGCAGTAACATCAGACAGAATATTAATCACTGTGTAGTGATCAATATCACGTTTATTTTGTTCCTCAGTGCTGGTCGAATTATATCGATCAAGTTGCAATACGGCCCTCTCGAAATGCTCTCACATGGCCAGCGAATATATAGCCTCTACCAGGGAAGTCCTACTCACTGCCTTCTCACAGTGGCATTACTGTTCTTTACGAAACTGAGAGGACGAAAAGCGAATGTCCGGCGCTTTAACCGGGTTGGTGGACATGGAGGGTCCACCTAGGGGAGTTGGAAAACCCTGATTCCAAACCAGTATCCTGATGGAACGAATGGCGAATGAACCTGCTGCTGGTCAACGGCTACCATGGGACTGCATCTCCTCACGATGCTCCACTGCCTTGTGGATCAGACCTTTCGGTCAAAGGCTCCGGGTGTGGGCCCCTAAGAAAACCACCTGCTTCAGTTCGGGCACCTGGACAGTATCACAGCCCTCAAGCAAATCGGATGAGATTTGTATGGCGCATATGTATCAGGTGCTTCCTTGTACCAATATTTATGTGTTTAAATAAAATAAAATAAATACGGCCACTAGTCTAAGCCCCTCGAATGACCCAACAGTAAGTTCTCAGATTGTAGAACTAGGTGACGCAGTTTGAATCCCCTAGAGAGCACCAGTCCCTCCGAGATTATAGGCACACCTTGAGTACAAGCGCAAACCGGCACAGAAACTAATTTTGGGGTTTCCTTTCGACTACCAACAACCCCTTGACTCCAGAACACTAAACTGATTCGTAAGAGTTTACATAAAATACACTAGTTTAAACCATATTTTAACCATCACCCATTAAAATCCACAAGTTTTACACAAATTATACAGGGGAAATGCTTGACTAGTCAGCTCCATGTATTTACCTTCATCTAAATGTAAACTATTTTAGATTGAAACCGTGTGGTTATAAAAACAAGTTTTCTTAGGAAGTTATAAATCTTCACTTGATTTTCATAAAAACCACTTTTTTGTTGATTCTGGAGCGATTTGGTTGCCTCATTTCAAAAAATGAATGTAATCTTACCCTCAAAACACAAATTAGTTGGCTTCCTTACATTTTAACACAAAAGTGTTATTTCTGTACTGGTTTACATGCAGAGGTTCATGAAAGATAAACACAATGAAACTGACATCATGAAGTTAAAATCTCTGTTTATCTCTTTTAGCATCATATCCTGTAAACTGCCTTCGTTTTTCTTGTTTTCACTAAAAGAACACAATTTCTCAATATTGTGCACTATGACTGACGATTCGAGCTTAATAACTGTGATTTCGACGGGTTCAAAGGGGAAATTTAGATCACTAGAAGGCTTTGTAGGATGATTCTTGCTTATTCATAAATTTGAAGTATAATATGCACTTTTATCTTTCATAAAAACTGAAGCTACAATTTTGTATGCATAATTTTCTTTTGCTTGGCGAAATTCTCTTATTTTGCTACTATTACTTTCACAATTGATTCGTTAGCTGTCCTATGAAATACCATATATATATATTATCATCTAATTTTCCCTGTCTGCGATTATGTCTTCACACTTATGTACAATCCTTTTAAAAATATCGTAATTTAATCTATATAATCGTTATATATGTAAGATATCTTAAAATACTACTACTGTACGTTTATAGTAGCACTGAAACATCAAAGTAAAGATGTACGATAAAACTAATGATTTTTAATTTACGAAACTTTTTGGCAATTGAAATACATTTATTATTCAAAGTCTACAAGCTATTTCGTTCTTTAGGTGGGGCCCAAAAGTAAGGTGAACGAGACTTTTGACTTCTCCTAAATAAAGAAAGAATACATATCGTGTTGTACATTAACATACTTAGGTCGAAAATGAAACCATGGAACACCGAAAGCTTTTGAAAGTTCTACTACAGTAGGCTCTGCAGAATTTTTGATAATTGTATCGGATACATTGATTTTTAGAGGAGAAGTTGGAGTGCGTAGCGATTTAACGTCATGTGAAATAGGCTAAAACAAAATGATAGGCCAAGAAAACCTACTTTAGTACACTCATAAGGAACTTTTCTAACTGGATGCCAACAAACAACAACCGCTCCATCGGGAGAAAGAGTTATAGCTGACTCACCACTTTAAAGTGATTTCAATAGAAATAAAAATACCTTTCCATCAATTCTTTCGATGATCTATAAACACGGGTTGCATTGATTTGAAGTGATCTAGGAAAAAAACAGATCAATATTTAATTAATTATGAATACGCAACACAAAGATACTCAGTTACCAACAAATAATGATGTTTATTTGCTTACTCGAATATAGCCTACATATATGGTACGAAGTCCAGTAATACAGTCTGGTTCCATGAACCTTAGAAAGTTAAGTTCAAGTATGTAGTCCATCTGTTGGAAACAATGCTCAAAGCTATTGAGAAACATCGTCGTGCTTATTCAGTGACAAAATAGTCTTAGTGATCATTGTTCCATCTCTAAGGTGGTACAATAATCAGTTTGCACTTATTGTATCGAATGAAGTAGCATATAATAGATCTAGCTCACAACTCAGTGGATATGTTTTTCTTTCGTACAAAACCTAAGTGGGCTCAAACAAATTTTTGTTAAACATCGATGCACCTCTCTGGATCCTCTGCAGTGCACTATAGTCTAAACGCTTACGGGTGGACCAATCGCTTTAACCAACAGACAATTATTGGTTCGGTCAAAGTAGGGAGGGAATCTCTGAGGATGAACCGTAAGAATAAAATACACATCGAAATTTAGCGCTCGTATATTCTGAGACAAAATCCCACTTAACTACTCTTGGTTTGCCTCTCACTTAGATGAGAGATACATGTAAAAAGAAATACAACCCACAATAATAGCTTTAGATGTCCATCAATTCTCCAAACTTCTTTTGGAAGACATCTACAGTTGGATTTGCTGCCAAGTTTTGTAGTGTACAGCATCAAAAGCTGATTGTCTGTGTCAGTACTCATTAGATGACTTATGTTGCATGTTCTGGTCAACTAAATGGTTTCGGAGGAAATATATGCCTGAAAAATTCGTTGCAGAACTGTAATGTTGGGGTTAGACCAACTTTATGCCTTTTATAAAAGTCCTGAGAAATTTACGATTTTTCTTCAAACAGGAAATAAAATTACGTATAAATACAGAGTAAGGAAAATTAATTCTACCAACATTGGTATGTAAGTTTCTAACTAGATTAATAAACTAAAAGCTGACATGTGAAAGCCATTTTATTCCCGCAAGAAGATAAAATGAAAACAAGTCTCACTAACCCCATTTATTACTATCTTTTGATAAGCCAGTTATTTTATAAGAGACTAACAAATTTCTACCTTTAGACACGACTTTAATCAAACAACTTTGAAGAAAAATGTCTCAAATGGGATGTAGCCAAAGCAAGTATCAGTCTGTAATATTTATTTGTACTAGTATAAATCAGTTTTCGCTCTTCTTATTTCTAGCACATTAGGTCTTCCAATAATTTCGAAATGCAATGATATAAACTCACGTTACTTTCTAATCTATCAAAATGAATGTCTACAACTTACCTACGAATGAATGATACTGCTTTCGATATCAGCATTTCAGAAAAAACTACCCTTTGTTAGACTAGGCAGCTAAAACGAAGAAAAAGATAAGGCTAGCCATTATGAAAAATATTGTACATTAAAAGGTATTGAAATACATTCCATTCCACAAGCAAGCGAAATGTAAGCACCCAGTAGGTCAATTTGCAGTAAAACTTGAATACAGTAAAGTAGACACAGATGTGTTGCTATACTACCTTTTTAACTCGGAATTTAGCTGTTTAGACAACTGACCGTCTTTCTTTGAACATTTATCCGCTATTATCATTTGTGAACATTACTAAATATTGAAAATTGCTCCCACCACTAAAAATCAAATATGGTGAGGCTACAACCTTCGAGCAGCGCTAAAGTGACTTTAGGGAAACCCATCAACTTACTAGGGTTATAAATTAGCAATATGATTTTGAGTTAGAATTTGGGGTACGGGTTTTATTACAAACTGACATCAGGTATAATCCCAAAGTGCAATGTAATTATATAGATGAGTGATTTTCGCGCCGGAACCCAAGACTTGCTATTCGTAATTCAATTGTTTCGTCCATAAACTGTAATCTCACCAGAAAGGGTAAATATGAAGTCTCGTATGGCGTCTCATGGCAGACCAAACTCACATCACTGCAGTTATTGAGAAAATACTAACAGGTGGTAATATCAAAGCAACAAAGAGTTAAATGAAAAAGGATGAGAAACATAGTAACACGAAACAAATTGTCGCGGTTATTTTTTGATTGAGTAAGCAGATATCTCACTTACTCAAAAACTGATTTTAGTAAAAGCGGATATTCTCTCAAACATCCACTGAGGATATTTTCTTATGAACTCAAATTACGAACACTCTGATTAAAACCTCAGAAAGTCTGAGCAATTCCTATCATTATTTCATCTTGTAATCCTACTACGGGTTAACAATGAACAACAGAATTGTACCCTGATTACATTTTCACTATCTCTTAATGGTCACATCATTCTTCTAGTTCCCTGTACACATAAATCTTCGAATCTTATTAGTGGATAATGGTCCTGCCACTCATTACTATTGCTGGTTCATGAGCAACCAAATTAAAACCCACAACCAGGACATCATCCCACTGATCTCGGCCATAAGAGTAAGTAGAGACAATAATTTCTGTCGAGTGTACTTGATTGGTGCCCTCGCAATTACTGTGACTAACTGTCAAAGACACTGGACATCGTGAATCAGAATCAGTCGCAATGTGGCATATGAACAGACTTAGTCTTTTCTAAGATCCTGAGCTCCAAAATTACTTTGCTTTCGAGAAGTTCATAATGAATTTTCGTATTAATTACTACAGCTTTAAAAGTATCAATATGATTCCCGAACGGTGTATATACCAACATTAAGTCCGACAGTTCATGTACAGATCCCCAGAAACTATTAGTTACGTACCACAGGCCATTAACATGTCAAAACCTGGAATGTTTAACCTTGAATTGCGAGCTAGATTTGGACTAGCCGCTTTCCAATATATCCAATATCATCATGACGACCTTGTATAAACCGGTTGGTTTCTTGCATTCGCTTTTTTTTGCTTCAGCACTGTTCCAGGCATTTGGAAATTTCCAGTGAGTGATAGCCCATCCACTTCATTGCACTAATTCTAGTAAGTTTGTTGAGGATTTGTTCATATCCGCATCTCCCTATTTTTGAAAAAATTTTGTCCGTTTTAAGGGAATTCGGGGGAATCTGCTATGGAATTTTCGGGATGGGGGAAATTGCATAAAAACCCCGAAAGTTTGGAGATTTACACAACACTTCCTCTAGAATCTCATAACATTGGGGAAATCGGTCTATATTTATCGAGAAAACACTAAAATCGCAAAATATTTCGAAAAAGTTCAGCAAAATTTTGGGTTTCTCCCCAATATTTCCACAGAATTTTCGACATCTTTGAGGAAACTTATCTTCATTGTGTGATCAAACCTCAATACATTCAGAAAACAGCAAAATTATCGAAGGTACAGAAAATCCTGTCGATTCTATAATTATTTCTCAAACTTTCTACGCAGTTATTCAATTTTTAAGTCAACTTTGGAAGGCTAACCCAGTTTCAAGGCAATTAAATCATAGTTGATTACAAGAACCGGTCTGTCACGATGTATCAGCATTGCCATAATTAAAAGACTGATGGGTTATGGATGAAATAAAGTATTAAAGTTTAGAAAGGTACAAATTAACCATTGATAAATCACTTCCAATTCTTAACAATTGCTTATGTGTTTCGAATAAGTACATCAGGTTGATGTTGGATTTCCATTCTCAGTGTTCTACAAAAAGAAAAATGTTATTCTTCAGCATTACAAACGCAGTACCAAAACAGCGAAATTGCTTATAGTAAACAAAAAATGCACTATGTCATATTAATCATTCAACGTGTGAATCCACAACGCCATGTGAAAGGTTGGTATGTGTTTGATGAATAAAAACTTAAAGTTACATCTGGTAACACTTGTGAAGCCAACTGAAAATAAGATAGACAGGAAATAATTATTTCAGTATAAATGTTTATCACAAACTAATATAAAAACAGAAACCGGTATTTAATCACAGATTAACTATATAATGGTTTCGGTGAGTGCAACTGTCTCAGGGCAGTAGGAATTCTGGATGCCAGTAGATATCATACCATCAGACACAAATTTGGTTGGTTGCAATGCAAAAATAATAAAGCTATAGTTCAAGTGCCAAAAGAAGAAATTCTATGAAGAAATACATGGATATTTTACTTATTGGTAGTGTGTAAGGAGACAGAATTGAAGAAATAAGTGGAGAAACGGAGATGATAATAATAAAGTCAGAAGGCAGTGACTGATATGCGACAATTGTAACCGCGGCAATCTGTGAGATGTGCGCTAGACGCAGCTGGTTCAAGAGGGAGATAGTAATCCATTGATTAGTGTGTGTTCGTCTAGCCTTCTATTAAAGCTATCAAGTGATGAAGTAGTGGTTATCAAAATTAGCTTATTCATGAAGACCCGACTGCCTTTTCAATGTAGATTTTACTGAATCTAGTTTAACACTTCATGACAGAGAATAATAATCGGATATATATTAACTATTTTATCTTGGATTAAGATGTTGGACACTAGAGTAAGGCTTCCCATGGGGATGCACTACTTACAGCATGACATTTCATTTAACAACTGCGGAGAGCTCTATTAGTGAACACAGAATAATTTATGGTATTATTAATATATCAGTTACGTAAACTAATGAAATTTTATCACACGTTTATCAACATATTTGTTACACCTAGACAAGCCAAAATAATAGCTCCAAGGGTGGCCGAAGTTATTTTAGTTAAGGTACACTTTCATTTACTCGCACTAAAATGACAGATAGGTTGAAATTACCCACAACATATGATGTTCCTTTACGGTTCACAAGCCTTAACAGGAAAGCTGTTTTGAATCGAACACAATGAGTCAAAGAATGACAAATAAACGAAAAATTTTAAAGGATAATGTTTTAAAAAATGAGGAACAGTTGCAGCATTGAAGGTGTCACGAATATCCAATACCATTGCCTATAAGACCTTTATACTCGAGGGTGACACACACTTAGCCAAACCAGAATGACAGAGTTCGAAGACATATTTGGGAGTCCGTCAATATATTGAGAAGTATGTGACCTATGATATGCATTTGTTCCCAGAAATGCGCCGCACAGTACTCCAATGTTGTCCTGGTGTTGATGTATGACCGAGCGGACTAATCAAAAGTTCGTTCAGTGTATCAGTACCAATATTGAAGGCTTGCAGAATCATTTATTTTAAGGCTTCATTTAATGCTACGCTATAAAGATTTCGCTAACAAGAACTTATCTGTAAACACAAGGATCACGATGCTATCTCGAATTTAGCTAAGCTACTGTCCAGAATTTTTCCTTACGGAAATCTGAAGTCGTTCGACTTTTAATTGATTTCACTCAAATAAGTTAATTCGGTTGAATTTTACGTACTCTCTAAAGACTAACTTCTGATCCAATTTTGCCTTCCACTCTGGGATTTGAAAATTTCAGCTTTGGGTTTATCCAGGTCTAGAGCATATTATGGAAGCTTCCATAAGGTTGCTTCACCAACCCTTCAAGCAAACATAATATGGGGTCTTTTACTCGTTGTCATTTCCACCACAAATTATTTTATTTTCTACCCACAAGCCTGAGGATTAAGAGGAAATGATGACACATTTCTCCACTACAATAAATATATTCTTATTAAATTTCAGGTAGGATAAGAACTGGCGGCCTCCACCAGGACTGAGTTAAGCATGACAAACAGCACAGGCCTGCCTCCAACTGTTGTATCTTTAAAATTCGAGACGTATTTGACTACAAAGTATACTTTATTGTTTGAATTTCTAGACTTCGCTGATGATCGAGATACGAATATTCCACAGAATGACAACTTCAAACAAAACAATGTCAAGGTCATGTAAATTCCAAAATCAAATGAAAATTTATTGATCATAGTTGCAAATCAACGGAAATATTGTTCTTTCCTATAATTATAGAAACAAACCAATTACAAACCTTCAGTGTTTAGGCATTCTTAAGTTCAAGGGTAAAGGGATGATGAAAAAACAGGGATGAAGACAGAAGATCAAAGTCAACGTCACAAATAAGACAAGCTCAATACTGAGCAAAATAAATGTGTTAAAGGAACATTGAAATGGGATAATATTTACTTTGATAGTTCAGCATTCAGTTTTCATTAATTGAAATAGTAGATTGACTGAACTGTAAAAACTCCTAAAGCCTGTTTCACGATGGATTTTGGGCTTAGCCTTGAAAGTGTTCATAAAAAGGCCGACAGCACTCGTTCAAGTACAGTGTTTTAGTAGTTGACCATTTGAGAAGAGAGAAATCCCGCTCTCTGTTCATTTGGGCTTTCTCATGGTGATCTACGGAATAAACAGTTATTATTATTATTATTCACAAACATCTTATGGGTACACAAGTGCTGTGAATAAACCATTTCGGGTTTCTTCAAAAACGCAATAATACACAATTTTCAATAATGTTAGTCTTACATTTGCCATGTTTGAGAAAGGAAGAAAAAGGAAAATAAAATATTAATAATAGAATAGTAATAATAAATCAGGTTCTGTGTAATTAGCAAGAATTTTGAATTGATTTTGAAGAAGGAAAGGAAGAAACTAAGGAAATAGAAATGAAAGAGTCGCAGAATACGTAAAGATCTTAACGCAGAACAAGAATAAAGAACTATGTATGCATAGCAAAACGAGTAATAAAAATAAAATAAAACAGAATAAATTGATAAGTAAATAACTTATTATTGCAGTAAGATATGACGTTAGAATAAGTGATTGTTCGTGCAGACAGTTTTGGGTGATGCTATTAAAGTCTCAATTAAGTGCAAAAGATAATCAATATGTATGAGGTGTATATACATGGTGAAGATAAAACGAGTCTGATAAGTTGAATTCAACGTAACTAAAGTTGTTGTCTCAATCCAAAGCTTCGTAATCTTAAAATTAATATTTATTTAGAAGGAAAAAAAGAGAGAAAAAAAATGAACACATAGTGAAAGGGTCCAACCATGATCATAATAGTGTAATGGATATAGACTTTTGAGATGAACGAATAATTTTAAAATAATAATAACAACAATAATAAACCCTAACGGATAAATACGTGTAGATTTATGTAACAGTGTACAGAGTGAAACCGGGTATTAGTATAAACATTAGTGCAATAATAATAATTTAGAATGATGCTATCATAGTCACAATTAATTGCAAAGGATAATTTAAATATAAATTTCTATATGTTACATATATGTGTGTGATGAAAATAAGATGAATCTGAAAAGCTTATTTGTAACATCGAGTTTTTTGTTTGTTTTTAGTTATAGACTTTGGATGTTTAGGAATAAAATATGTTTAGAAGGACAAGAAGAGATGAAAAGAATATCTAATGTGTCGAAAAACCAATAATTGTATTAATAACAGTAATAATTATAAATACGAACATAAGCACACTTCATATATTAAGATAAATAAAAGTGAAATAGAATAGACATGAAAAGTTTCAAAGGTTTCACTTTGCTTTTCAGTCAGTTAGATAGATGACGGACCTTTTTTGTATAAATCATTGTTAAGCACGTTGATATTCAATAGGTGACACAATCCACTTTCGGAAAGAAAATCATCAAGAAGACTTCGGAACCGGATTATAATTTCACTGCATGGGAGGTTCATTGGCAGTCTATTCCACACGGTTGAGTAGCGAATAACGAAAAAATTCTGGCGTAAATTTGTGTGGGTTTTTGGAATCGCTAGAATATTTTCCTTATTGCGTAGATTGTGGGACGGTATCATAGAGTATGAAGGGGTAGATAGCGAAGAGTAAGAAATACCGTTAAGAAGCCGGTAGAGAAAGATAAGGTTTAATTTGATACGCCTGATCCAGAGAGGTTCTAATTCTAAAGAGAGTGACACGACGTGGTA